CTGTTTTGAAGGAAACCCCCACAAACTATATATCAATGGAAAGATTATAAAATGTAGAATTCGGTAAAATTATATTCTCTTTTGCCGACTGTTTTCCTAAGGCGGCAGAAGCCGTTAACGTCAAAATTACCGACTGTATTCCGGCGAATTAATGGGGTATCAAATGCGATAGCTGATGCAAAATAACTATGCAGTGCTAATCACAAAGCATCAATCTCTCAACGCATGTCAGCATTTTCTTTCATTTCTACTGGTTATCTTTTTATAGAACTATCATGTTCCAGTATCGAAAAATTCGCGTAACGTGTTTCGTTAGAGACCACCACGAGAAAAGTATTTGAAATAAAAGAATTCGCCGACACGTTTTTGTTCCGTATCTATCAGTGATTGTTCTGGCCAAATTTCAAGGAAAACCGTTGATTTTACATACCCTATTAGGGTCCTATTAATTCATTTAAAGAGGAGGGATTCTCGCGAAAAACGAGTGCAAGTTTTCGCCTTCCAAAGATTTACAATTATGTCACGCCTTCTCAGAGGGATATGTCAACTCAAAATGCTGCCAGCCAATGAAATAACAGAACCCCTAGCGTTCACAGTACGGAAAGTTGAGCTTCGCGGTAAAGCGATAGTGTTACAGTCACGTATTAGGCGCATACGTTTTAGGCTGGTGGTCAACAGTAAAGGGCAAAACGGAGAAAAGCGATGTGCAACAAAACAAAAAGAAACTGAGGAGCAATTGCCGAAGCGTGATTACAAAAATTCTTAAAAGGACTCTCGACGGACATGAAATCTCAAATTGAAAGTATTTGATATAGGATCTCTGGATGCTCCTCGTTCTCTGCTCCCCCTTTTTGTCCATTTAATCCCTCTTTAAACTTCCTAAAATTTCACTTAAACTCATGTATAACCCTGCCTTAAGCCGTTTGCCGTAAAAAGGTCGCTGAGGAGTCCATGTCTTTTGGGGATTGTGACACCTTGACGGTTTATTAACTGTTATTAAAAACCTCTTTTTCCCAATACCTCGCATGCGTTTTAATATTTTATTTTCATTTTTTGGAAAATGTTACCTTGAATAATGAACTTTAATTTGGTTGGAAAAAAGAAAATTTGGATAAAGTAGCCCCGCGAAGGTTTGGAACTAAATGATGAATTTCTTCACCCTTTCATATACTTCAGCTTGTGAAATCCCTTCCCTTCAATATACCTGAAGCTTGAAAAAAGTACCCATTTCGGGTGAAGCTTCCCTGTATAGACCATTTAGGGAGTACACCCTGGGGCCGGGGGACATTCAGCCTTTTCAGAGTATCATGCAGGCTAAACCAATTGCAAGATATGACCACAGACTCTTTTGACTGATAAGACAAGGAGCCTCGCTTGAGCTTATTTATTATTATCTTTGAGGAAAGTGAATTTTATTTTCTTTTTAGCGGTAGCTTTGGCGTTTAGCCAAGTCGGGACTTTTTGTGAAGGCCTACACGACCCTAAATGCAGCAGGAAGTGCAGTTGGCACAAACCGGAAGTTTCGTCTGCGTGACATAACAACATTGCTTCAAAGGAAACACGTGGTTTTCTCACCTGAGTTTTGGATTTCCTCTAGGATGTGAGGGGTCAAGTTTGATTGCGTGCAAACTTTCTCTCAGTAGAGTTGAGGTCTCAAGGCCGAACAACATGGATTACGAAAACGAAGGCTGTCTTCATGAAATCTTTGAGCGGCAGATGAAGAATACTCCACCGACTGCAACAGCTGTTGTGTCCGGCGATGGCCGATCTGTTTCCTTCTCCGAGCTTGACGATCTCACCAACGTTTTGGCTACGAACCTCAGGCATAGAGGCGTCAAGAGGGACAGCGCTGTTGGAATATACCTCGAGCGATCGCTGGAATACCCTTTAGCTTACATATCGATTTTGAAAGCTGGTGGGGCCTACATGCCTTTAGAACTCTCCTATCCCGAAACTCTGCTTTATTCGATTCTTGAGGACGCAAAACCTGCGGCGATCATAACGAGTGAACATTTGAAAGAGAAACTTCCTAATTCGGTGGATTTGATTTTACTGAACGAGGGCTGGGACGAAAGACTTGAAATGGAGAACGCTTCGAAACCCGCTTTGGAAAAATTGAAGACAAAGCTCGATGACTTGGCATACATTGTTTATTCTTCAGGGACCACAGGAAAGCCAAAAGGTATGCGACTTTGTGTGACACTAAAGAGTGCAAAGTACAATTGAAGATAGCATTTGATATAAACACACAGAATAATATAAACAGCTGAAATTTCCTCTTAAAAATTAAATTGATATTTAATTTGAAAGTTAAACAGCTGTAAATAGTTAATGCGATGCGCAGATTTATATTATACTCGCGCTTCGTAAATTTGAAAGCCCCGCATTTATAGAGCTTTTTATTGTTCAGTTTGAATATAATCCGCTGGATTTTTGAGACAATAAGAGTTTGACCTTTGTTGGTTTTATTCATGAATTTCAATATTAAGTTTCATCTCATCTGTCAGCGCAGATGTTTTTATTGCTTTTAGTACTGATTTACAAATAATAGTTGTTTAAAATTTAATGTTAAAACTAAGTATGCAAGTTCCTTTCTTCAATGTAAATGCTTTTAAATAATTTATTTTTTGTGTTTTCGTCAAAATGCTCATTTGAGGCATAGAGAGGTCTGGGAACAAGTCTTTCTCAGCCCGCCCTTTTCGGTCCTTTTAGTTTGGATTTTTTTTCTCAATACATAGTGTCAAGTATTGCAAGTCTTGCAAGTCTTGCAAGTTTACAATTACCAAGAGATGGAATGGAAGCTGATAACCTTCAGCAGTTGAAATCTAAACTCAAATAATTTATACTTAAATATTTAAATTATTGTACAATATATTAAGGATCATTGTTAATAATTTTTAATTTTAATTTTGATTTCATTGTACCTTTTCAAGGGAGTTTTCACATAGAGATAGCCTCTTAACTTCCTTTTCTAGACGCATCTTCTTTTTTTTTCTTATTTTTAGTTTCAATTGTTTATCTATTTTGCATGTAGAATAAATAAAGTATGTATGTTAAATTATGTACATGTATGTATGTCTACCAAAACTCTGAGCAGTTTCTAATTTATAACAACTACAACGTATACATCACTTGAATTATTTTTCAGGGATTTGTTGTCCTCAACGGGGTGCTGTCTTCTCATACACCTGGAGATTCCATAATTTTCCATTTCAACCTGATGACAGAGTGGCCTGTAATGTCTTCTTTGTATGGGAGCTGTTGCGACCTCTTCTGAAGGGAATCCCTCTATATGTCATTCCAGACACTGTTATTTATGACCCTTTGCTACTGCTGAAGTTCTTGAAGAAGCACGGAATAACACGAGTCCTTTTTACTCCATCTCTTTTAGGTAAAATATGATCAGTAGATGATAAGTAGTGGTAAAAATTAGACCAAGTAGAGTGCATCTAAGGGAGTAATCGGGCGAGTAATTTCAAAGATGAGTGCATATCAGCAGCTGATTTGAAAGTATTACAAGCATGATTACTCTCTGAATTGCAATTACTAATTAATCTTATTAATAACAAATTTCGGGATTCAAAGACAGTGGCTTTTTCCATCAATTTTACACTGAAGGGAAACATTAAAAAGGAAGCCATATGGTGGACATAAATGTGCATATATGCGGTAGGTGTCAAACAACAGGAAAATCCAATTACAAAAAATTATAATTGGATACCTGTAATTGGACACAATGTGATTGCACACCAATTATATAACAAAGAGCAATGCTATTAGAACCAATTGCAATCGAGAGTATTTGTTACAGATCCAATCTGTTTTACCGAAATGACTTAGAGCTTGTGAAGGGTATAAGTTAGTAACAAACACTATGACTTGCAGGACTGGATTCCCCTTAAATTATGATTAACTGATGACTGGTTACCTAGCAAAATTGTCAGTGGATTTGAATGTATACAGACAACGTATATGCATATACAATAACATCCTCATTTTAGCTATCACTGTCTCGGAGTCATTCCTTTGAAGACTACCATATTTTCACTCTCTTGGTGAGTGTGCAGGACCTCGGCTGCTAGTTGCATTAAAAATTGCAGTTTTTTGCAAACTCAAGCATGCTTCAGCGGATTACTTTTTAATTGTGCATTTTTGAAAATCTAAGCAAATTATTATGAAATTTTAAGGCCCATGTTTATGATCCTTTAAGCTACCTTTTCCCTGTTAAATTGGACTGAGTTAGGGTCTTCAAGTAAAATGGCATACTTCCCGTGTATTTTCTGATACACTATTTTAGAGACACTTTTAACCTGTGAAGACAGTGACCTTGCTGGATACTTATCCTGCCTGAGAATCATCTGGCTGTGTGGGGAGGTGGTGACTACTGCCCTCAGAGACAGATGCATGAGAACATTGCCATGGATCAAGCTGCTGAATCTTTACAGTGTCTCGGAGTGCCATGATGTAGCCACAGCAGACCTCACCAACATGCCTTTTCAAAGTGAAGTATGTGTATACAGTAGAATCCCGGTTTTTCAAACCTCCAAGGGCAATTAAAATCGGTTTGGGAAATGTGGTAGTTCGAGTAAAATTACAGTGTTCATCTGAGGGGAGGTTTGAAGAATCGAGGGTTCAAGAAGTCAAGATTCTACTGTATTTCTTATTTTTAAAAATTAGTCATAATTATTTTGAATTAATTTAGTAGCAGAGCTCTGCCAAGTGGAGCACCACACTCATATAGGAAAGAAAAGGAAACCCATGAATTGATATTGCTGGTGGGCACGTACGCAGGAAGATGACAACGCAAATTTACAAAACTGAAATAAAATTTCTCGCTTATCTTGGGCTAGCTTATTAATCAGGCTTTGAACAACCTGGCCCAGGAGCTCCACTTCTAGGCTTGGCTTAATCTACATGTATATGGTAACTTATGGGCAAACTTTTGTCAGTGAAGATGTGGATGAGAGATGGTGAAAGGATTTATTTTATATTCCTTATTTTTTGCTTGCTTAACGCTATGGTGTGAGAGACTACTGATGAATAAGGGGGTAGGGGTTTGATTCCTAGCAGGACCAATAATCAGGACCTTGGAACTGAAGCAAGTCAATGCTGATGTCCAATTTCATTTTCAGTACTGCCTGTATTAGGATTTGTTGGCTTACAACTCTTACTTTTCCCAATCCTGTAGCTCTCAGATACAGACGATAACAAACGGAAATTCTGCCCAGTTGGAAAGCTTTTGCCAGGGGTCTATGTTGCCATCATGGATGAGAACATGAAACCACTACCAGTGGGTCTTCCTGGAGAGGTAAACCATGATTGTCTGATTCCACTCTCTCTTTGATTCTCAGAGTTTTTGAGCAGTAAAATGAAATTAAAATGTGGAGGAGTGGTGGTCTCATGGTTAGTGCACTTGTCACTGGATGAAGCATTCTGGGTTCGAGGCCTGGGGCCTGTTTCTCGAAAGCCCCGGAGACTTTTCAGGCCTGAAAATCCATTTTTAGTTGATCAGTATTTAAAGACAGAGAGGTGTGTATGCCCTGAAACTTCTTGTACAGAATGGAACCTCTGATTGTATTAAGAATACGTGAATAAAACAGCTCTGTAATCAGAAGGTTTGAGATTTTGCTATGGCTTTCCGGGTGTGAAAACTTTTTGGGACCTTCGAGAAACGGGCACCTGGTCAGGAACATTGTGTTGTATATCTTGAGCAAGTCATTTTACTCTCACAGTGCCTCTCTCCACCCAGGTGTACAAATGGGTGCTATGGAATTCAATGCTGGGGGTACGTAACTCTGTGATGGACTAGCATCCCATCTTGAAGGGAATAGAAATACTCCCAGTGACCTCATGCTACAATGTATGTAAAGTGGCAATAAGCACCAGCCTGATGGGCCATTTGGTTCGTGTGTAGACTTCACCTAAAATAATATTAAAATTCTGTGGTATGTAGTTATCTACTATTGGTGACTGAGATTTTTCAGAATCATAGGCCCGTAATGCGTGCAAAGTCTGCATACATTACACACTTTGTACAATTTTATGGCATATTTATAATAAAAGTATGTGTACAAGCCAAGTGGCCCATCAGGCCAGAGCTTATACCGGTTTCTGTAGCATGAAGCAACTAGGAGTATTTCTACTCCCCCCCTAGATGGGATGCTAGTCCTTCGCAGGGTTCCCCAGCATTTAGTTCGCCGGTACCCATTTATACACCTGGTTGGAGAGAGCCACTGTGAGAGTAAATTGTCTTGCCCAAGAACACACTGCAATTTCCCTGGCCAGGGCTCAAACCTGGACCACTTGATCTGGAGGCGCACACACAAACCACGAGGCCACTTGCACCTCCCACATATTTATAACACTAACTTATTTTTCCTTTAGATTTTTGTTGGAGGCCCCGCATTGGCTCAAGGCTACTTGAACAGACCAGAACTAAATGCTTACAGATTTATAGAATGCCCGCATGAAGTACCAGAGTCTGCTGGACCCAGGCTCTATCGTACAGGTGACTGGGGATACTTACTGTCATCTGGCATGTTAGAGATTTGTGGTAGATGTGACTCAATGGTGAAAATCAGAGGATACAGTATTGAAACACAGGTGGGATGTGTATGCATGTGTTCTCATTTGTCAGATTGTTTTACATAGTCAGGTAATCTCTTGCTTGGAGGTACTTAGTGATAAAGATGGCACCTGATTCCCCTTTAGGTCAACCCCCTGTGCAGGCCATGTGGTCTGTAAAAAGAGCAAGGCAATGTAACTTTTCACAGGGGTTTAGGGTTAAGGTCTGTTTGAATGCAAGTCAACTGGGGGAGTGCAGAGGCTCACCAGTCCCAGCATAAACATTCATTGACAATATCTGTTACATGAAGAAACTTGGAGTGAAGCTACTCCCTCTGAGGACCCTCCCTGGACATTCCCTGGACAGTCTCTTGGACAGTCCCTTAGAAAGTCCCTTGGACAGTCCTTTAGACAGTCGTCCTGGACAATACCTTGCAAAGTCCTTGGACAATCTTTTAGACAGTCCCATGGACAGTCTCTTGGACAGTCCCTTGGACATGCCCTCAGACAGTCCCTCGGACAGTCCCTCAGTCCCTTGGAGAGTCGGGCAGTCCTATGGTATGTATTGTCTCTCACAGACCATATCCCCCCTAGTCCCCAATTCCAGCAAGGTCTTGAATTTTCCCCTTCTCAACAGTGGAGATTCCATACAATCCCACTCTATTTCCAGCATATCCCTGTGTTTGGTCCGAGGTCAACCCAAGGAAAGCCAATACAGGTACATGTAATTTGGAAAAAGTGCTACTGGGCCCTACCCCTACATCCACCATTGATTTCTGTAAGTACTGAGGAGCCCACAATTTGTCAGGTACATAGAGAGGCACACTGATGAAGTTGCACCCTAGCCTCATATGGTGTTTGCTCTGTTTCAACAGGCTGTGGAAGCTGCGTTGTTACAGCTTCCTATGGTGAATGCCTGTTGTGTGGTAGCTCATGGTGAAGAAGGGGAGGACAAGTATTTGGCAGCTTATGTTGTTCCTGAAGGAAAGGTAAAGAAGAAAACGTCTGCTTTAAATGCCTTATTACGTGAAATTTTCGTGACCCGTTAATTTTGCGAATTTCATGATTTAAAAAAAATAGTGAAATTAAAGTGATGCGAACAGTAAGTGTCGCAAACATAACCTGATGCGAAAATCCCACTGTTGCATTTTTGTTAATTTCGACGTTGTTGTACCTTTAAAAAAGTCGGTTTGCTAAACTCAAGGACATGTTAAAGTAGCATTGCCATGGAAATAAATTGTGTGCTACTAATAAACGAGAAATTAAGGTGATTCAAAATACAAAATTTTCACAAAATCCCAGAATTTAAGTGCCGCAAAATGTGCGCACCACAAAATCGCGAAATAAACATGTGGCGAAAATTTCATGTAATTAATGTAGGTGGACATCTATATTTGTTGTTTCCCATGAAGGGATCAATGCCTCTCTTTGTCTGGGTGATTCCAAGTCGGTTATTCTGCATACAAAACACATGATTGTCACTTGTGTACCCAGGTAGCCCCACGGTGATAGCATAGTTTTTCAATGAGTTTTGGGTCTTACATTTATTTAATAACAAATTACATATACTTGCATTATATAGTGACTCACAACAGAGGTTGAAAACATGTAAGGACAGCCAAATTATGAAATAAATCTTTGTTTAATTAATTCCATTTTATTAATCAGGCCACCAAGAAAAATGTCCGAGCAGCTTTAAAGACAAGACTTCCATTTTACATGATACCATCCCATTTTGTTCTCCTGGCAAGGTGAGTTTTATAACTAACGGCATAAGCCTTAAACAACTGAATTAATAATCATTGATGGATCTCTGAAATGTTTTGAAGGACTGGTAAAATATTGGCATATCTTTGAAGTAACTAACAAAATGAGTTGCTAAGAAGAAATATTGAAAATGATGAGTAGAATCCATGTATTTTTAAAGTCAAGCTTCCTTTACAATAATTGCTTTTGAATAGGTAAGTTGTACAGTCAAACCCCGTTAGTCCTGTCATTAATCAAATCCCGTTAGTGCTGTCGCAATAATCTAGCTGTATTAACAGAGTGGCAACGCATTTTTTGGACATTTTGGATATGCCTGGATATAGGTACTAACTGTGGCCTGGATATGAAACAAAGTAGCTCCAGTCTACTCAAAAGAGGCATT